TCCTGAAGTTAAAAGGGTTTTACATGGCCAGACATTTGATAGAGAATTCCTTGTGTTCCTATCAGTGATTCTCGTAAGAATTACTACACAGGATTGCATAAATAAAGTAAGGTGTACTTATTGTCAAATTTTTAAACTGTCATTCTTGAAAGAATTTTTAAAAATTGTGGTAAAAAACATATCACATAAAGTTTACTCTCTTAATCATTTTTAACTATATAGCTCAGTAGTGTTAAGTATGTTTATGTTGTCATGCATTAGATGTCCAGAACTTTTTCATCTTCAAAAGTGGAACTCTACCCATTAAACAACTCCCCATTTCCCTCCCTCCCCACCCCCAGCCCCTGGCAACCAAGTCAAAGATAATTTTGACTATAAGCAATTTAGCACTTAATCCCTGGATAACATTTGACCACCTTGTTTCCATGAGCTGTTTTTCTCCTAGTTGAGAAATGGGGAGTATTTGCCTAGGTGATTAATTAATTAATTTAAAAGATTTATTTATTCCAGAGAGCGAGGGAGAGAGCGATAGTGGGGGCAGGAACAGAGGGAGGAGGACAAGCAGACTCCACGCTCAGGGCGGATTCTGACACGGGGCTCGATCTTATGACCCATGAGATGATGACTTGAGCCGAAACCAAGAAGTCGGATGTCTAACTGACTGAGCCACCCAGGCGCCCCTAACTATTTTAACAGTGAAGCCATGACTGGCTCCACAGCTTCGCTTTTGCCCTCACTTGGAGCAGTGGGGCACTGGGGCCCAGCCTCAGGCCCTGGTTCCTATAGCATTCATTCTCATTCATACCTTTCCATTTCACGTTATTATTGTAACATTTCAAGAAAAGAAATTCTCAGGAAGTTTTAGAGATGGAAGGGAGTCCCGACCTGTGGTAGGCAGTGTGTCTTCCTCTCTGTCCCCAGGACCCGGACTAAGTAGAGATTAGTAGTTTGGTGCCTGCACTTTACCCAGCTGAGACCCAAAGAGAGATGGCTTACCTTTTAGGTAGTTGCGACACCCGTAGGTGATTGTGTCATGGCCTGGGACCCCAGGGACTGAAGAGCACTGCATTTGGGGATGGAGAGGCAGAGCCCATCTGATGGCCATGGTTTGGGGTGGGGTAAAAGGATGACTGGGCAACTCAAAAATGCAAGAGGCAAAACCTCATTTTCTGTATCCTGGTTTCTCTCACCGCAGACCTGGAGGCAGAAGCTAGCCTTCCCGAAAAGAAAGGAAACACACTGTCTCGAGACCTCATTGACTATGTGCACTACATGGTGGAGAATCATGGGGAGGACTATAAGGTGAGTGGTTTGGGGCTGGCAGGAAGAACCGCTTGGGTCTGTTGGGAAGGCACCCTTGACCATTTGGGGTCTGATCTGCTTGTCTCTTGCCTGAGGTGAGGAACCTGGACTTCAGGGATACGAAGTGGTTTGCCCAACTCAGGCAGTACTAGGACTCGAACCTTTGCCTCTGTCCAGCCCTCCTCAAGTGGCCTTTCTCCCTTCTTAGGCTATGGCCCGGGATGAGAAGAATTACTATCAGGATACCCCGAAACAGATTCGGAATAAGATCAATGTCTATAAGCGTTTTTACCCAGCGGAGTGGCAAACCTTCATTGATTCTTTGCAGAAGATTAAGATGGAGGTTGAATGATTGGCTTATGCCTGCCTCAGGCCTCAGCCTCCTGGACCAGAGAGGCTCCTTAAGGCAAAGAGGGGCATGTGGCCAGATGGGGCTGGCCAAACCCCATGGAATCAGAAGGTTGCACACACACACTCACACTCCCCTTTCTGGGGAAGGAACTGTCTCCAAGAGGCTTCTGAGGGCCCTGAGAAAAGCCAGAACCTACTGTTTTCAGAGTGGGTGGTTTGTTTACATATAGTCTGTACATAATAAAACAAGATTATTTTACTTCTCTGGTGGTTGTGTGTTCCCTTTGCAACCAAGCCCTGGGACTGCCCCTGGCTGAAAACCCACTCAGCCGGGGCAGAGAGGCCATCCAGCCCCTTATGTGCCACATTCCCACCCCCCCTTAGGTGTGGCCTCCTTCCTCTTGTCCTGTGTTCTGGTTCCATTGCTCTGCCTTGGTTTCCTGCACAGCATTAACCCTTGTACAGAAGCCTGCTGCTAACCCTGCGCTCCTTGGGAGGGCTGTGTCTCACCAACGCTAGCCCCTCTCCTAGGCTGGAGGCTAGAATATTGGCTCGAGGGCCAGAGGGTAAGTAGCTGTACTGCCGCCTCCTTATGACTGGCCTTTGCTGCGCATCTTCCGATTGCTTGCCCTTAAAGGAACCCGAGGCCCCCAAATCTGCTGAGACTGTTGGACTGCTGAGTAGCACTCGACTGTGTGCCAGGTACTGTGTGCCACACTGTGGCCATTCTCTGGGGCAGGCCTACCTAATTTGGTGATGTGGGGTGATGACTTACATAGCAGGATCACAGGCACATTGTGGGGTGGGCACTGGGCATTTTCTGCTTTTGATACTTTATCGTCAGCTATTATAATACAAAACCCCTCTCATTCCTAATGCTTCCCCTAGAAGGGCCCCTCACATCTGGTTCTTCTTACTGCTCTTAAAAAGGACTTGGTGTTTTTACATAGATCACTTCACATAAAACCCTGTAAGGTATGTGGCTTTATTGTTTTACAGGTAAGGAAACTGAGGCTTGAGAGGCCAGTGTGACGTTTGAAGTCAGTCCAACAGCTAAACCTGGACTTTCACTATCCTCCCTTTCAGCTCTTGAAGGCAGCCCATCAGTCCCATACTATCAGGGCAGGCTGAAAACGGACAGGGTCCCAGAAACCCCTCCTATGGGACCCAGCTGGCTTAGCCCCCAGCAGTGACTGGCCCTTGTAAGCAGTGTGCACACAGCCTTTGGAATCTAGACTGAAGCTGGGGACTTCTTTTTTCTTTCAAGTAGGCTCCATGCCCAAAGTGGGGCTTGAACTCATGACCGTGAGATAAAGAATTACATGCTCTACAGACTGAGCCAGCCAGGCGCCCCACTAGTGAGGGTTTTTATTTGGCCTCATAACGTCCTCCACAGCATTCGAAATTCAGGCCTTGACAGCTGTCCCCTTGTTTCTTTACCCAATTCAGGTGCCAATTTTGGAAAGCTTTTTCTGCCACTGTCCCCCATCCTTAGGCTGTGTTAAGTCTCCTGTCATCCCTACGTCCCAGACTTCCTGTAGCAATACATAGCAGTCATAACTGCCTTGTAATCTGCTTGACATCCCCTGCCGGACTGGGCTTGAGTGCAGGCACCTTCCCTGGGAATCCAGAGCTGAGCCCAAGGCGGGTGCTGGGGGAATGCTCCATTCTGACTTCTGGTCCTGTCAGCTAGAACTTCCAAGGAATGGCAGCCAGGTTTGGATACTTCCCAAAAGGTATGAAGTTAGGCCAAAGCCCAAGTTCCTTACCACTTCCATGTGGGCTGAAGGGCCAGAGGACTGGGACTTGCTGTTGACAAATGATTGTGTCGCTGGAAGTATTCTGGGATCACCCTCCATACCTGCCCCTTGCTAAAGAACTGTGAGCACCCAGCATATACTCCTCAAATTAGAATTCAAACGAAACCATATCCAAGGTTTGGGTATTTATTGTGTGCCTCATATAGCCACTGGCTCTCCCTTATGTAGTTTGTCCTTGGCAACCCTGTGGGTCTGGATTCGTCGGGCTTGGGCTGGGACAGCAAGGCCTCTTTACTTCCAGATCTCTGATGGGACTTGTCCCCTCATGGACCCACCTCACAGAGGCAGCAAATGAGGAAAGGTTGGAGGTTCTTTTCATAGCTACTAGGAAGGACTGAAGCTGTGTGAGCCAACAAATGTGACAGAAAGACGGCTCAGACTATTCCAGGTCTGAGGTGTGGGCTGGTACCACAGGTGAGCTTCAGCAGCTAGTTCAAAGTGCTGGCAGCTGCTATTAAACAAGCATAAGAACAAAATTTTTCCCAAGACCAGTCGGAACATTTTTTGCAGTATCTAGTGTTTCATTCAGCCAGATAGGCAAGAGTCCTCAGATTTTCATCAGTACCTCTCTGTGGGGGACTGGGAGCGCTGTGATGGACTGATTTCACCACCCAACCCCCATCCTTATGGCTGGATACCAGTGTGTCAGTGCAAGAGGTACCAAGAGGTACCCGAGGAGGCTCCTTGGGATTAGCAGCCAGTCAAGTTGGTGGTCTGGGAGCCTTTTTGCTTAGACCATCCACATGACCAAGCTTTGGGCCAAGTTGGCCTCTCCTCAGAGGGTTGACAGCAGATGAGAGAATGGAAAATCAGAAGCCACACTGCATTAAGTAATTCTTAAGATCAGAAGCCGTCAGTGCCAGGGTAAATGATCAGGCATCGGTTCAACAGCAAAGCAGAAGCAGAAGCTTCCCTTTGATGTGGAGTGCCCACCTGCTCTCTCAGATCCAGAGCCTACCTTCCAGTTGCCTTCATTAGAAAAGGAGAGGGGCTGACATCTGACCCCTATGCCATGCTCAGCTAGTTTGGGAGCTGTAGTGTTGGGGCAGCCTTGGCGGGGGCAGTGTCACCCAGGCTAGCTCAGAAAACTCACTTTGAGATGAACTCCAGATAATGGCTGGTTCCCAGGAGCAGGTGATCTGGGCTGGTGAGTCAGAAAGTCATACTCAGGAGCAACTGGGTAAAAGCACCACAGGCCAGGCCTACGGCTGTTCACAAGAGAGGCCCGTTGCTCTACTTTGCCCAGTCTAGTCCTGGCGGAAACCAGAGCGGATGAGCGCTGTTTGGTGCTCTGCCTGGAGGACAGGACGGTAGTCCCACTAGAGCACAGTGGTCAGCCACAGATGTGATGAGGCACACCCACAGGTCAAGAGATCATCTATGTTCTAGACAAGTATCAGGGGTGGTACTCTGGACCTTCAGCAACCCCCCTCCCCAGTGGTGTGCGTCTTCTGGTGTACCACTGGGACCTGTCAGTTCTGGGAGTGGTCTTCAGAAGTTGCTCAAGTAGGTACAGTTATAAAACTATTCAAGTTCACTCCCCTCACTGGGGACTTTGAAAATTGTATTACATAATGATACTCATTAGACCAAAGGCAGATCTTAATTAGAAAAGGGTACCCTACAACAATGCTGGTTCCAGAGGTAAATGTCAAGCACTAGAGAACAAGGTGGGGTTTACAGAACAATCTTTCAATATCAAAATGAAAAGCTGTCTGCAAAATTTCAAAGGCTACTCTAAAAGCCAAGTCATTCCTTAAATATTTAAAATAAAAGCAGACAAATCTTTCTTCGGCAGGAAGGTAATTAGAATTTCAAAGAACAGTGATTCTGTTGATACACCCACAGCCCAAGAGCACAGCAGGCCACTAACTACAGTCACACTTCTGGACTTAGAAGCGTCCCACCCCACTTTCCCTCCCTGTGCCTCTTCTCATGTAGGCCACAGCATGGAACTGAGGCACACTGAGTCAATGTCAAGTGAAATGAAGGCACGTCATCTCTATTCTCAATTAAAAAGCAAACTGAGTTGAGTATCTCCTCAAAAAAAGTCCCTCTGTGGCTACTGATTACTCAACGGCCCCTGGCCGACAAAAGGCTCCTTCCTTTGCACTAAAAAGTGTCAATATATAGATAAACTGGCTGATCACCAGAAACAGGAGAATCATGGAGTGTGCACTGGAGAGAACAGAAATTCTGTCCAACTTTTAGTTGGGGAATCAGCAGGTCCAGAAAGGCTACGGTACACAAAGCCTCCAGGTACCCTGTTGACTGATCAGCTAATTCCCATTTCTTTTTACCTGGATTTACATGATTGACATTTCCCCTCCTAGAGTCACCATCTACACGGAAGGGGGTTGTGTCCTTTTGACATACTGGGCCAAGTGGTGGAGTTTAAGTTTAATGTGGATCAACGTAGAGTAGGATACCGATTATAGCTGTAAATGATGGGGGAGAGCTAGAGCTTTGTCTCCACTGACGTGTGCAGGTTATCACACATCTCACAATCCCAGCTATTTTCGTCAAAGACACAGATTTTCCATGACAGTCATCTGGGGTTTTGATAACAGCACCTAGACACAGAACCTGAAACTTTGGTCTGTTCCTTGTATAAATAAATAAATAAATAAAACGCAGTTCTGAGGCCAACACCCAGCTCCAGTTGACAGTCTTCTCCCCAGGGACACAGGCTCCTTCCCCAGACTTCTGTAAACATGGGCATTGGCACAGTTAATGCAAGAGCAGCAGCTTCTGTCTCCACGTGTGGGGGAGAAAAGCCTTTCGTTTTTCTGGCGAGGGGTGAATACCGCTTGATGTCATCATCTGGCGGGCAGGCCTTGGCTTGCAGAAGCAGGGAGGTTTCAGAAAACTCCCTGCTAGGATCTCCAGGTTCGTCCTAGCACTTCTTACCTTCATGGCTGGAAACTCTATCTCCAAATTAGAAAAAAACATGCAAATCACCCCTTTAAAGTGATGGTCCCAGGGCCTCGAGCCAGCTGGCCAGAGCTGGGGCTGCAGGACACTTCGGGCCTTGGAGCCAAGGCTCACTGTGTACTGCCCACAACCGGACTGCATGAGAAGGGCGGGGGGTCACCAGGAGGGACCAGTTCCGGCAGTACTTCTGACACGACCCTGGTTCTCAATCACCAGGACCGGCAGAGGGAAGAACTGAGCCCGCTGAGCACCTCACTGCACACATCAGAGAAGGAGGGGTGCCTTCAGTGGTGGAAGTTGGATCCACTTCCAGCCTGGAGTGAGCCTCACCTGACTCCCCACTTCGGCCTCACGGCCACCGCACCAGGAAGGCTTCTGTGTGGTTCCTGGCCTTGCCCAGGCCCCGCTCTGGAGGGCGGGTGGAGAGAAAGGACATGCTGCCACATGGCTTCTGCCTCGGGCCCACGCTGGCAGCGGGAAGCAGGAGCGGCAGGACTGGGGTCTCCAGGGTTGGCTGGCGAGTGAGGGGGCGGGGGCGGCCTAGGAGAGAAGCTCCAAGAGCAGTCTCCAGATATGCACGGTGCCGGGGTCTTCAAAGCCGGGTCCTGCAGGGGCGATGCTGGCTGCCAAGAGGAAAACCTCCCGCTGGCTATCGACAGCCTGCAGGCCCAGCTCCTCCTGCAGCTCCACCATACTCATGGACTCATTCAGGTCCTGGGATGAGACGGAGAAGCCAGTTGGAACAGAGCTCCCAGTTTCCCAGCACCCACACTGTCCTCCATGCAAAGAACTGTTTTTGGCTATCCTGGGGAACACTGGGGCCTAAGTTCCCAGAAGTGCCCTCTGGGCCCCTTGGTCGAAATTCTCTTCCTCATCTCTGACTTTCCTTTGTTACCAACCTCTTTTCATACCACCATTAACCACTGTGGTGAGAAAACAGCACCTTCTATAAGCCAGGCATTGTGAGAGGCACTCAGACTTATTATTATAGTTTATAAATAGGATGATGATGTAATTCATCATCCAACCCAGAGTACTTCTGAGACTTAAAGTGGGCACTATTAATCATTATCCCAGAACAACAGGCATAAATGGGGACCATCCCAGGCAGACCAGGACATATGGTTACATATTTATAAATGATTGTCAAGGATTTCCCGACAGGGGAAACTGGGGCAAAGACGTATAGTTTCTCTACCAGTCAGGTTGGAAACAAGTGCCATGGTGCTCAGGGACGTGGGCCAGGCCACAGGAAAAATGACAGAACTCCATAATGTGGCAAGGTTTTACCTGGTATTTATTGAGAATGGCACCTTGAGCCTGTGATGCCGAGGGTTGCTGGGCCAAAGGCCCAGGAGAAGTATAGTGTGGTTAAGAGCCAGATCTTTGAGGAAGATCTGAGTTCAAGTCCCGACTTCGCCACACACCAGTCTTAACTTTGGGCACGGAGGGGTAATAACAAGGCCTGTCATGGGGTTTTGTAGTATTTAAGTGAGGTCATGATTGTCAGGTGCTTAGCCTGGCACGCTATAAGCACACTTATAAATGTTATTTATTATTGTTATTTCAACCTGCTCAACTTATCACTTCCCAGCTTTAGCTCTCTGCTCTAGACCTGGAAGTCACAAGGACATGGCAGAGTAGAAAAGGCACAAGTTTTGGAGTCAGACATCCCAATTCCACTGTTTTCAAGGTGTACAACCTTGGGGAGATTACAAAACCTCTCTGAGCTTCAGATTTCCAGTCTGTAAAATGGGAATAGTATCCCATACCTGGTAGGGTCAATTAGAAGCATAATATGAAATGTTATTTCATACCTCACATGTAGTGGATACTTAATCATTATTTTTCTCATTTCTCCAGGATGATGGGTAACAGGGAGACAAAGGGGAAGGCAGACAGGATGAGGATCAGGGATGAGGAAAAAGCACAGGTAGAAGAGTGGGGGACAGTATCTCAGCCAAGTGCTCCAGATCATAGGCCTGGGCCTGCATCTCTCTCCTGTGCTCCCTGCCCCTGCCCAGGGATCAGTGGATCAAGTCCAACTGGTCTAAGCCAGCCTCCCATGGCCCTCACCTGCTTGTTGGCCACCACAACGACAGGCAGGTCAGGGTCCTTGTCCAGTAGCTTGTGCAGTTCCTGCCGGGCCCAGGGCAGCCGCAGCCGGTCAGCCGAGTCCACCATGAACACCAGCACGTCTACTTCATTCACAAACTCCTTCCAGTAGAAGCGTAGGTTCTGGCTGCCACCGACTGAGGAGAGGCCAGAGGCCAGCTCAGAGCCTCCCTGGGCCCTGGCTCTCTACATATATCCCCAAGACCACCCCACTTCCAGCTTCCCAAGGTTCCACCAGCCAGGGGCAAGGAAGACCACAGGTTCTGGAGCCAATCTGGCTTAGCTTTGGCTCTGACAGCTGGGGCTCCCTGGGCAAGTCACTACCTTCGAGCAGCAGCGTTCTCCCTCTCACTGAACTTACCCACTAACAGGTTGCAGCAAAACCCAAAGGTACCATGTGCAACACACCTTTCATAGACTGGCATACAAGGTGCTCATTTCCTGGGCTACTTCCTGCCAATTCCTAGCTTTCTCCCCGGACAGTGATGGTGTGGTCAGAAGCCAGGACTCCCTGCCCAGTCTGTGCACAGCCATTCTCCATTCAGTGTCTCTTGTTCAGTTTGGTCATCCCATTTTCTTTCCTTGCAAATACCATACTCAGTCCTACCACCACATGGCCGCCCACGTAGTACCCCCAACTTGGGTTGCCTTCTTGTCCCTCTGCACAGTCCCCATTAGCCACACTGCATCCTAGTGTTTCTGGATATACTTCTGACACTTGTGGACTCTATGCTCTTTAAGGAGCTGTTTACATCTGGATCCCCCCAAAGCCCTCAGCACAATGCCTGGCACATAGCAGGCACTCAACAAATATTTACTGAGTGCTTACTAGGTGCCAAGCGCTGATCTGGGTGCTGGGGATACAGAGGTGAGCAAGGCAGACAGGGCCCTGATCTCAAGGAGCTCCCTCTGTAACCAAGACAGACAGAGCAATAGCAGGTAAGCACATTTCAGAAAGGAAATAAAAGAGAAAAAGTGAAAACGACTGGGGGTGGCTTTGGACTGGGTGGTCTGAGAAGGTCTCCCTGAGGAGACAGCATGGGACTTGAGTCTGGGATAATGAGAAGGAGCTAGCTAAGGGAAGAGGCAGAGGAAGGCATTACAGGCAGAGGGAAGAGGAAGCTCAATGTGTTTGAGAAACAGAAGGCAGCCAGTGTGGCCAAGGCAGTGCCAGCGGGAGAGGGGAAAAAGCCACAGCCGGCGAGGTTGGCCAGGGCTTGACAACACAGGGGCTGTCAGGCTACAGTGAGGCCGTTGGGGAGCCCCTTAAAGGTTTTACGCAAGAGCAACATGGGTTTCTGAAAGACACTGCTGGCTGACAGTAGGGGACAGAAGTGAAAACAGGAAGACCAGCAAGGAGGCTATTATAGTACTGAGATGATGGTGGTTCAGACCAAACAGGCAGTGGTGAAAGTGGGGAGAAGTGGACAGATGCAAAATCTATTGGAAAATAAAGCTGAAAGAACTAGCTAATAAAATGGACAGGATATGGGAAGTGGGGGAAGGGGGGAGAAGGGAAGAGTCATCAAAGATACACAAAGGGCTCATCTCGGCTGGGCTCCAGGTGTAGACCATAGCCAAGTGAGTGTTGTGGGAAGGGAGAGTTCCAGTTCCAGGACTTGAATGGGAGATCTGGGTTTGAATCCAGGAGCAAACCTACTGAACCTGAGACTCTTGGGTAATATGAAAACACCAAACCCCTTCTCCCAGGGTTCGGGGGTGGGGGGTACTCTCTCTGCCAGAGTGGGAGTCAAGTGCAGAATCCCACTTGAGCCTTTTGCATCCCTGGCACAAGAAAGGGAGACGGGGAAAATATTGTTTAAAGGACCAATTTCCAGGTGAATATCAATGTTTGCCACAATCAGGGAGGAAAGATATAGCCAGGCCCTCAGAGTCTGATCCCACCACCTAGTGCGTAACCAGTCTTTATCCTCTGAGCCCTTTGGCTGGCAGGAAGTCCACTAATCTCTCCCACCAAGTCTGTAGTTGGGACACAGGTGGCTAAGTACTGCTGTCTTCTCAACAGCCCCTCTGCCAACCTCTTCTGGAATCCCCCTGAGGACAGGGGCTGCCCAGACCCTCTCTTATCACTCACTCAACAAGCTCTCCCAGTTACCTGCTTGAGGCTGGGCCCTAGGGGCCAAAGCTGGATCAGACTCATCTGTGCCCCAGATGCCTAGTCAGAAACATAGGCTGGTATGTGCCAAATACCAGCTCAGAGGAAGAGCCCTTAACCTAGCTTAGGAGTCAGATAAGGTTTCATAAGGATATCATGTTTGACCTAAATCTTTTAAGAGAGGCATTCTTCATTTTTTTTATTTTTTAGTAGGCTTCACACCCAAAGTGGGGCATGAACTCATGACCCTGAGATCAAGGAGATGCTCTACAGACTGGGCCACCCACATGCTCCTGACCTAAATCTTGAAGGAGGTGTAGCAGTTTATTGAGGGAAGAAGGGCTTTCCAGACTGAGGGAACAGTGCAAGCACAGGACAGAAGAAAGAAAACAGCAAGTACCCTTCAGAAACAAGCAATGTAACATGGTGCTTAACATTGAGAGCCTCCAGGGGCACCTGGGTGGCTCAGTTGGTTAAGCGTCTGCCTTTGGCTCAGGTCAGGATCCTGGGGTCCTGGGATCGAGTCCCACATCGGGTCCCTGCTCAGCGGGGACCCTGCTTCTCCCTCTGCCTCTCTCTCTGTCTCATGAATAAATAAAATCTTAAAACAAAACATTAAGAGCCTCCAGTCAGAGAGTGTGCATTAGCAGACTGGCAAGGTGGGTGAGCCAGGATAAATTATTTAACTTGCTGGGCCTCCCTTTCCTCATGTATGTAACAAGGGTAATAACTGTTTCCAGTTTTTCCGAGTTGTTGGGAGGATTTTATTAAGTAATGCCTGTCAGATGCTTGGCACAGAGGTAACTTTAGCTTTTGGTATCGCACTATTAGGCATGTGAGCTTCAGTTGGGGTGAGGGACAGGCAGTGACCAAGCTGGAACTGCCCAATCATGAATGGCCCATCATGTCAGAATACAGAGCTTGGACTGTATCCTGTGCCCCAGAAAGGCAGGGGAAGAATGTCATAGAGGGACGTGTCCTGCTTAGATATACATGCTGGAGCCACCCCCAAGCAAAGATTCCCGGCTTGGGTCCAACTGAGGTGATGGGAAGACGGTGTGTGTGTGTGTGGGGGGGGTCTGCTCACTCTCTAGCAGGTCCACCTCGAAGTCCTTGGTGGGCAGCCGCACAGAGTTGAAGCCCCAGGTGGGGATGTGGCCTTCCAGCGGAGGCTTCCCGGACAGCACGCGCAGGAACGTGCTCTTCCCCGAGCCATCCAGCCCCAGCACCAGCACCTCGCGCTGCTCCAACTCCTCCAGCGCTGGCTCTTCGTCGTCCTCGTCTTCAGGCTGTGGGGCACAGGTCAGGTTGGGGCCGGCACCCTCCCGCCGGAGCCTTCCCAAGGGAAGACCGAAGACGCCAAAGCGCCCATCCCCGCCCTCCACCCGTCAACCGGAAGGCAGGCAGTCCCGGTCTGGTACAGTGGGAACAGCGCTGCCTCTGGAGTCCTGAATCTCAAACCCCATTCTTCTGGCTTTTCCTGAGTAAGCTCGGTGAAATTTCTTCCCCTCGCGAAGCCTCAGCCTCCTTAGACTGACAATCTCCACGTCCCAGGGTCCACCGAAGGCGAAAAATTCGCAACCCGCCCGGGGGCCGGGGAAGGGGGCGGAGGCCTCTCCCGGCATGCCCCGGGACGCGGGCAGTGCGCACCGCACAGGCGCCGGCCGAGCGCGGGCTGGACCCGGCGCGGTCCCGACGGCGCTCCAGGGCCGCGCCCTCGGAGCTCCAGCGCCCACGAGGAAGTCCGGGTCTCGCGGCCGCGCAGGGCGGTGCCACCCACACCCTGAAACGCCCACCCATCCTTCAGTTCTGGGACTCATGACTCCTCCCTTTCGCCAGGGGCCTGCGGGCTGCGGCACCAGGTCCCCTACCCAGGCGCTTCTGCCCTCGCGGGGCGTCACACCCCTCAGCTGCACGTGCGGAGGTCCAGACCCCGGCCCGGCACTCACGTCCCATTCGTCCCACTCAGGGAGGCAGGCAGGCTCCGCGCCCCACCAGGCCTCGCCCCGGTCCCAGCGCCGCTCCCGTCCGCGCCCGAAGTAGGCCTTCCAGAGGATGAAGAGTACTGAGCCCAGCACGGCCGCGGCGCCGCCCAGCGCCAGCACCAAGGGGCTCAGCGGCCGCGGAGCCATCAGGCCGGGCGAGGGGCACGGGTGCGGGCTGCACGGGCCGAACCACCGAGCCCGCGGAAGATGGCCCCGCTGTGACTGCGGTGGCCGCGCCCACCCACCCAAGCCCAACCCCGCACTACAAGCCCCACAATGCACCGCTGCTGTCGCGACAGGCGGCCCACGCCCCGGCGGCGGGAGCGGGGGCGCTGGCCCGAGCGCCGGGACATCCCGGCGGGGATCCCGGGACACCGCTACGTGCGGTGGGGAATTGGAGGCTGTGCCTAGGCAGGACGGGAGCCGGTGATATTGGCAACTCCCGAGCACTTGCTGTATGCTTAGTGGAGAGCTGATCAGTGTTCTCGGTTACTCCGTAAAACAGTGTTTCCTAGAATGGAAAGCGGAGGCCCAGGTCGCACTGTAGTGCATTGGTACAGTCGGCACTCAAACCCCAAGCGATGTTTCCTGGGCATCTCAGGACCTCGGGGAACAAATTGAGGCAAGTCACACGGCAATGGGGTGGCAGGTTATGGAATGGCAGAGGTGGAACTGGAACCCGGGTCCCTGACTTTTAGTACTCTACCCTCCCTTGGCTGCTTCCCAGATCGTGCTAATGAAGCAGGCAGGATTAGGGGTCCGTGTTTAGATCTTCTGATCACCTAGTCCTCCGCGACTTCCAGTGGCTGCCAGGGTTTCCAGGTGTAGCAGGAGAAACAGCCTGAGGTACTTTAAAAGAGGACTCCATGAGGGTCTGCAGAATGAATAGGTGTTTTTATTGTAAGCAACCCCAAGCCATCTTGTTGACCAGGAGCGTCTCGGGGTTCTTTTCTGGTCATCTGCGGGTAATGATCAGATCTCTCGTTTCAGGAAACTGCCCTCCCTCCCTGGTTACTACCTCTCCTTTTCATTGCAGTCCTACTTCTGGGTAATGTGCGTTTCCTATTTTTCACCCAACCCACCCAAGGAGACTTTCACCCGGGTCTCTAACAAATGCTTCCTTGTTAAATCCGTTGGTAACATCTTAGTTCTTATTTTGCTTGACCTCCTTGCACCATTTAACACTGTTAAATGGGGTCTTAGCAGGTCAAAACCTGGCCAGGGTGCCCGCTCACTCCTTGAGGGATCACCTCCCTGGTGAGACAGGCGTGCAAGATTCCCAAAGAGAAAAATAAGCACCAGTGAGTTTATCCAGAACTTTGCAGTCAGAACATTGAAAAAGAAATTTTTTTAAGGGATTTATTCTTGGCATTCATGTAAGGTTTATGTCATTTCAAAAGAGAGCACCTTAATCCCTTGAGAGCTAAAGGCTCCTGGAGGTCTAATTTGGCCTTACCTTACCTTACCTTTCCTGCCTCCTGACACACAGTGGGTGATCATCCTCTTGTCTCGCAGCTGGAGTTCAGTCACCCTGGGTGGTGTCTCTGCCTGAAACTGTCTGTCATTCCACTTGAGGATGTTGACTGGGCCTTTGTCATCTTGGAGTCTGATGTGCTCAGTATAAGAATGAGGCCCAGAGAGATGCCCGGGTGGCTCAGTCAGTTAAGCGTCTGCCTTTGGTCCAGGTCATGATCCCAGGGTCCTAGCATGGGGCTCTCTGCTCAGTGGAGAGCCTGCTTCCCCCTCTGTCTGCCGCTCCCCCTGCTTGTGCTCGCTTTCTAGCTCTCTCTCTTTCTCTGACAAATAAATACATAAATAAAATCTTTTAAAAAGTCCCTTTAAAAAGAATGAGGCCCAGAGTTCACACTTAAATATTTGGAGAATTGGCTCAGTTGCACGTGCTCCTCCCTTAGCCTCTGTGACACATTCTTTTCTTGATCTTCTCCCTCCTCTCTAACCAATCCTTTTCACTCTCCTTTTGCCTGGCATTGGCTGCCATTAGCTGAAACTAACTGGACCGTTTGGCAAGGCAACTTTGGAAATGGAATTGTCAGGAGTTAGCCCCCTGTCATACAGAGCAGAGCAGGTGAAGGGTGAGGGATGGAGCCATGAGTCAACAGGCACATGACCAGCGTAGTCCACCCCTTTGCATCCAGTTTTACTCTTATACCCGTTTTTAACTTTGTGCTTCCACATACCATGATGCAATATCCATCAGAAAAATAGTCACTCTCCACCTTCTGAAAAAAGAGAAGGCAAAGTCCCATCTGTCAATATATCCATCTCTGGGTGATGTTAATTCCTCTTCAGTCATAACCCCATCTGGATATTCTACAATTAAAGATTAAATTATAGTGGCACCTGGGTGGCTCAGTTGGTTAAGTGTCTGCCTTCGGCTCAGGTCATGATCCCAGGGTCCTGGGATCGAGCCCCACATCGGGCTCCCTGCTCAGCGGGGAGCCTGCTTCTCCCTCTCCCTCTGCCTGCTGCTTCCCCTGCTTATGCTTTCTCTCTCTCTCTGTCAAATAAATAAATATAATCTTTTTAAAAAAAGATTAAATTATAAAGATAACCACTGCCACCTTTACTTATACAGTCCAGCTTCCATATTGCTACACAGCAGTCTTTACAAAAGAAAAGCTGGCAATGTCATTTTCAGGTTAAAATTCCTTAGTGGCTTCCCATCTCCACCAGGATAAGTACTACGTGTCTCTGGTGATGGAGCAAGAAGGGAAGCAAGGAACTGGCATTTAATGATCATCTACTATACATCAGGCTTTGTTCTGGTGTAAAATGTACTGCTGTGCAAACATTTGTCTGTCTTCATCTCCTGGGAATTGTTTTCCTAATGACTGCGTTAACTGAAAACCTGCCATGTTTATATGACACTTGGCATGAATAATTAGTCCAAGGGTAATGACTTGGATCAGGCTGGACCAAGGAGACCCTTCCATGGGATTCTTAAATTTGGTACCCAACGTCTTGAGATCAATCTGTCTTGGGTGGATTAAGATGTAAAACTTACCACCTATAGGCAGCCATTTTCCCCACCTTTAAAGAAGAAGGCTTGAGGTCAAAGAGGCTGAGGTAGAGCAGGAAAGGCAAAGACAGAAGGCAGAGCTGGAATCCTGGTGCCATTTGCATCCGTGGGTACTAGTTATTCCTAAAGTCTAGGGTATATTTGTGTTCAACCCTTTTGTAACTAACTTATTTACTTCCTCCCTCCCCTTCCTTCCTTCCTTCCTTCCTTCCTTCCTTCCTTCCTTCCTTCCTTCCTTCCTTCCTTCCTTCCTTCTTGTTTCTTTCATCACTATCTGGGAATCACAATATGCCCAATCCATAGGATGCAGCCGCAAACAACATAGCATCCAATGAGGGGATCCGCTTTACAGTGAGGTGCAGGAGTGGCTCCTTGACCAAGGGGTCCACTGGTTAAATCGTGCACTGTACTATCCAGGGGTAGCCAGCTTCAGAGAACACTGGCTTATAAGTAAGGCTAAAAGCCTTCTGCATTTCAGTTATTTATACCTTTGTCATGCCTTTTAGGGAATTTTCTGAACCTGATCTTCATACTTGCTTATTTGGTCCTTGGCTATATCCACTCTGCTATTCACAGCCTTTGAGGGCTTTATTTCATATCTGGTTCTATAGTTGGTTCTTTATGATTTCTTGTTTCCCCCTTCCAAAATCCTCTCTTTTCTTTTTTAGAGTAATATTGAAAATGCTTATTTTCAAATAAAAAAAATAAAATGCTTATTTTCATTCATTGTCCTGTCAAGTCCATTAACTCTGGTGTGTCTGGATAAGGTAGTCCTGTATGTTGTCTGTTCTCTCGTTGGGTGTGTGTCCCTCAGGCATTTCTTATCTGCCCCTGTGAGTTCCTCTTTCCTTGGGGCCAGGACTAAGTGCCTGGGGGCGGTGGCATAGCCCAAGTGTGGTGTATTCCTGGTGAGTTGGGAAGAGGGAGACGCTGGTGTACAGTCTGCACCTCTAGTTGGTGCTGTCCTGAGCAGCCAGCTGCATCCCTGGAGAACCCCTCTGTTCCTCTCTCTTCCCGGGTAAGACTTAGAAGCCACCCCCCCATCCCCCGTTGCTATAACTTGGTGCTTAGCGTCCAGGGAGAAGGAAAAGGAGCCATGGAAGAGGCTGCTAAGGTGCCTGCCGGTTCACCCCCCCCCCAGGGGACCGCCCCCCCCCCCCCCGCCCCCGCCAGTGCCTTCTCAGCCTGTGGTAACAGTGATAGGACTGGCCAAGGTCTGCCCAGGGCAAGGCGTGGAAGAAGAAAGACTACCTCTGTCCGAAACCTGACAGAGCCTGATTCCCTTCTTGGAGCTCAGTCATCTGCTCTGGGTTTTGCCATTGTCCACACCAAAGCTGACGGTCACGGGGCTGGTCTCTCTGATTTGCCAGCCTCCCTTTGATTCTCAGGTATCCCCCGATCTGGAGCTGGCTTGTGCTCTCTGCCATCTGGTCAGCTTATCTCCGTCTCATAAAAGAGAAAATAAACTTGAGAGAGGAGGTGGTTTCTCCAAAATCATATAGTGAATAAATGAGGCAGCTACTATTTGAACCAGGTCTGTGTGTCTTGAAAACCATGCTCTTAGTATCTTGTATCTCCCTGTACAGACCCTGGAATCTAGGTCCACTCATTTTATCAAACTTTTCTTCTGAAAAAGAAGGGAAACTCAAGGGATTGGCTTTGAAGTCTCTCACATGTGCCTTCAGTTGGATTTTAGGAGGTTTCCTTTTCACAGACGTAGACGAGCTCTTGAGTTGTTCATCATTTTAATTAATCGGCTCTTAATGTTTTTAAATTTAAAATTATTAAATATGTCGGGGTTCCTGGGTGGCTCAGTCATTAAGCGTCTGCCTTCGGCTCAAGTCATGATCCCAGGGTCCTGGGATCAAGCCCTGCATCGGGCTCCCTGCTCAGCGGGAAGCCTGCTTCTCCCTCTCCCACTCCCCCTGCTTGTGTTCCCTCTCTCTCTGTGTCTGTCTCTGTCAAATAAATAAATAAAAAATCTTTACGATTACTAAATATGTCAAACATGTTCAGATATCCATGTATTGACCAAAACTTGAGAATTAGCATTTTGCCATATTCTTTTTTATTAGAAAAATTTCAAGCATAACTAAGATGCTATTCCTATCTCCAGAGATAACCATTATCCTCAAGTTGATGTGTATCATTCCCATTCATACATCTCA